ATTCATGAGTGTAGTGACGTGTATCTGAAATTCTGCAGTGACGTGTATTTGAAATGTCGTCTGTCTCAATCAAACGTCATAATGAGTATGATGAAACAGAAAGTGGAATGAATGGGATAAATGAACTGATGAATGACAAATCAAACAATTTAATTATACATATACATACGACAGTGACATAAATAAAAAAAAAATAGAATTATATCCAGGAACAAAATTCTGTTTGTAAATTAACAAATACAACGTTTTTCATCTGTAACTTTCGATAGAAGTTAAAGCTATTGTTTCAAATTCCCTTACAAACCAATGCCTTTATAGTAAAGTAAGAACCATTAATTAACTCTGCAATCAAACAACTTATATCCCCCTCCCCACCCCCACCCCCCGGAAAACAAAAGAAAAAAGAGAAGAGATAAACAGTGAGTCACATCAAATTCAAATACTTTAATAGTTTATTGTCGATAACCAGATATGTATACACGTCTCTGCGTTTACTTATAAAAATGGCAGGAAAATATAAAGTTGTAATAGATTTTTTTGTATACTATCAGAGACATATAATGCATTTTTTTTCATTATATGTCTTTGAAACTATGCAACTGCGGCACATACACATTTAATAGGGAATTGACTAGCCCCTACTTATCACAGCGTGCAAGCACATATTTTAGGACTCATTTCAGTTAAGAATGACAATTATATATAATAAATGCCATAGTTGGTGAGACTTTTTTCGACCAGATGTGTGACTTTGTCATATATATATTACCAAATATGTGTCTTATTCTCCTGCAAAAAATTGAGTAATTTTCCGTTTGCTCATTCTTTTATGTACAGAGATATGCTAAATGTATGCACTTTATATACATTTTTTTCTCTGATTACTTTCATTAGTCCATAAGTTCGATATCGGGAATGGTTTATTGCCGCAAAGGTTACTAAATGAATAAATCAATTAGCTTGGAATCTTTAACTAAACAAAAAACACCAGTCACCACTCTAGATGATCAGACGTTAATTAACTATCAGTCTATCCGATCTTAAGTTTCTTTACTTCTTACAATATGATTTATGGGGATAATTAGTGAACATTATATTTATGGTATCGCTCATAGTTTATTTATACAACCCAGTTAAGAATCGTATATAGCAGCATGTGCGCGATGCTTGACCTACATTAAGGACAACAAATCATGCGATACGTTATATTCTGATTATCTACACCAATAAATTGATTGACTTGTGTTTTTACCTTACTTGAACTATTCAGATTGTTGTATGTGAAGTAAGCGGTCCGTTCGTTATTCTGCATTCGATATTTGAACTTTCTTAGTTGAAAGTAATACACATTTTAATATTCGATAACATTAAAAGCATTACAGTCACAGTTAAAAGGAGTTAAAAGATGAACATGTAAGAAATCTTATTGTAATCCCTTCAAGTTGTCGAACATTTTTGCTCTCAAATATAAAGCCTAAAAAATAAACTCTTACGTAAATCGCATATTTCTCTTTATGCAATATAGATTTTTATGCCCCACCTAGGGGCATTATGTTTTCTGATCTGTGCGTCCGTTAGTCCGTCCGTCCGTTCGTTCATCCGTCTGTTCGTTCGTCAGTTCGTCTGTCCCGCTTCAGGTTGAAGTTTTTGGTCAAGGTAGTTTTTAATGAAGTTGAAGTCCAATCAACTTGCAACTTAGTATACATGTTCCCTATGATATGATCTTTCTAATTTTATTGCCAAATTAGAGTTTAGACCCCAATTTTACGGTCCACTGAACATAGAAAATGATAGTGCGAGTGGGGCATCCGTGTACTATGGACACATTCTTGTTATCAATGAAATGCAATCAAAGATGTACTTTGAAACATGATATTTCAAGAAACAAAAACAAACTGACACTCTAGTAACATTTGAAAATAAAATAGAAACAACTATATGGAATATAACGCGATATAAACATAAATATAGATATAAATAGATAGCGAACACGAGCAATTGGATATTCCTAGGTCTGTTAGATTTTATATCATTGGTTATGACAATATATTAATCATCGTTTTACCTGTATACAAATGAGTTTTTGTGGATCAATTCAGTCAACCAAATGGTTTACCCTGGTTTCACTTTCAATGTTGATAATTCTTTCCCTTTTAATAACTGAACACGCCTAGTTCATGCGTAACATATCTCTAGGTAAGCGGTTAAATTGAACGCACATGAATACGGATTCAATGTGGTCGAACTATTCACTTGCAATTGATAAGTCATCAGTGATGTTTCTTAGCTTAGTTTGACAAAATTAAAACAAACTTGCTGCTAAAAGCGAATTATTATTTCACTATTCATTAATGATTGACCAAAACAAATCATATCTCGTAGCTAATGCCCCTTTAATATTGAACATGTATTTCCGGTTAAAGGACCAGGGCGTTGGCTAGACCTTCCTGGTCTTTCAATCTTCATAATATTATGCATATACATAGGTGATATATACATACAAATGACATCAAGAGGAATTCGGGTACAATTTTTGTCTTTAGTGTTTACGGAGTGCTCAAAGTGCCTGAGTTTGATATTCAAAATATATAGTGAAAACCTACCTAAACTATTTATATAAAATTTATACAAATTCCCTTTGAGGCCATTTGTATTTATATATTAACTAACTATAAGCTTAATCTTATGAAGATTGAGATATTATGAAGATCTAACTTGAAGGGGTCACAACATGATTTCCTACATCTCTTTTTACTCCTTTTAACTATAATGCTTGTAATGTTAACGAATATTAAAATTTGTATTACGTTCAGCTAAAAAAAATTTAAATATCGAACCGACTGCTAGCCGGATGGATATTGAATATCGAATGACGAATAACGAACTGGCCGCTAACCTTACATACATCAAATAATCGAACCTCGTGTCCAGGAAAAATTTCCAATTTGCCTTTTTTGAGAGGAATATTTAGCATTTTAGACATTAGAAATTTCATTGCACTAAAATACCGATAAAAACAGGTCATTTGATGAATCTCCAGGTTATTTGATGACCCAGGTATTGAAAAATCTCGGGTGAGAAGGTTAACCATTTGTCACACCCCCAAATTACGGGTCAGTTGATAAACCTGCATATTTGTCTACAGTATGTAGAATACTTAGCAACGCCCCCTCATTCATGGTCCATTGACTTTGAAACTTTTGCTTAGTTTACATGTATTAGTTTGTGATAAGGTCAGTTTAAGAGAAACCAGTAATGGTCAGCCAATGATATTTGGTATGAAGTTGTGTTAGCATTTTTATATCTGATTTGCATGGATAATATATGTTCACACCCTTTCCTCTTGGTTGATTGACTTTGAAACTTTTGCATAGTATACATATTAAAGTCTTTGTTTTGGTCAGTGTAAAGGAAACCATTTTGATAAGTCAATAGTATTTGATATTCAATTGTATTAGTATTGGTATGTCTCATTTCTACAGAGGTTATTTGGGCCTGCACCTTCAGTCTGGTCAATTGACTTTAAATGTTTTGCGTAGTTTACATGTTGAAGTATTGTCATTTCATTTTCAACATTTGATTTATACTATCAAAATTATATTTAGGTGAGACATATCTCTGTTGCTAGTGAAAATTAAATTGTGGTGGCCTGCACATTTATATTTTGAAAGTAAATGATTTTACCAGGTAAGCCTATGAATAATCTATTGTATCTAAGTCTACATATAATGAGCGTTGCTTTACATTTCAGTACAAATCAACCAAATACTTGTCGAATGGAAGAAAAATGACCAGATGTTTATAAACACTAGAGCTGCCCAGCATGTACTGAAATGTATAAAAGAGAACAGCTGTGTTACAATTACAGCTAGTGCTGGTGTAGGGAAAACAGCAACACTCCAACATGTGGCTTTACAGATGGCCTATGAAGGATATGATGTTCTTCTAGTGTCTAATCCATTTGACATTGTGAAGTTTTATAATCCAAATCAGAAAACATTGTTTGTTATTGATGATTTATGTGGAGTTTTTTCTATTAGTGTGCATGAATTTCAGCTTTGGGAACAAGTCATGGAACGTATAAAAACTGTTCTTCAAAATGCTTTATACACAAAAATTATTGCAGCATGTAGATTACAAGTCTTCCAGGATGATAGGTTTGAAGCTTTATCAGTTTTCAATACATGTGTTTGTAATCTGCTCTCAGAGAACTTTTGTTTGACAATAAATGAAAAAAAGTCCATAGCAGAGTTGTATCTGGAAAATAATGTCTCAGAGATTACTAACTATTATGACTTATATGACTGTTTTCCACTTTTATGTAAACTGTTCCATGATAACCCTAAACTGAACAAAACATATTTCTTTAAGAATCCATTTTCAGTTTATGAAGCAGAGATTGAAATGCTTCTTAAGAACAGGCATTACGCTACATACTGTGCTTTGGCTTTATGTGTCATGTTTAACAACAACATGAAGGAAGAAATGTTAACAGAAGAAGTGAATGAAGAGACCAGAACTATCATAGAGAACACATTGGAGGCATGTAGATTAAACAGGGGAACATCAAGGCTTTTTTTACGGGATACATTTGAATCACTTAAAGGCACATTCATTTCTAAAGAACGAAATGTGTACAAGGCTATTCATGGTAAAATATTTGACTTTCTTGCTTACTACTATGGAAAAAAAATAATCCATTGCTTGATAAGGAATGCAGACAGTCGTTTGATCAACACACGTTTTTTGTTAGAAAGAAAGGACGACATGCATCAGTTTATTACTATTATACCTCCAGAGTATCATGAGATGTACATAAAGAGAATGATTGATGACTGGTCAAAAGGAAAAGTGCAAGATGTATTTAAAAACATCAATATGAAGAAACCTCAGTTCACACAGAAATTTCTCTGCTATTTGAATGCACTTGATATATATTACCAGAGACAACTTGCACATATCTGTGATGTTGACTGGAGAGATACTCCACTGCTACAATGCTGTATTATTGGAGATATTCCTTTGATTCAGTGGTGTATGTACCACAATGTTAATATTAATCAAAGTAGATTGGATGGCTTGACTCCTCTGTTCGCAGCAAAAGGTCACACTGAGGTAGTGAAGCTTTTATTGGACAACAAGGCCACCATTTTTACGTGTAGAGATGACTGGTCAAAAGGTAAGATTAAATTTTGTATTTTGAATTAGCTACCCCGATCATTTCTGTTGTTTATCAAGGTACTCTCAATTACCTAGACGATTTAATTTTGTCTTCTCTCCTACAAAGAATGATGAAGAATGCAAGAAAAGGGATGAGAATCAGGCAATGATGTAAGTTTTTATTTGTAAGTTTGAATTTCAGAAGGTGGAACAGGGGTAGAAATATAAAAAGATCATTGACCAATATATAGATTAACTTGCACTCCTTTATTTCAACTTGCCCTTCAAATGTGGACGGAAAGCTCGTCGTGATTACAGCAGGGGGTTTTGGGGTAAACGCAGCCAAATCCAACATTCTAGACCTCTCCTGGCAGATGATTTCAAGTTACCATACACCCTTTTTTTACTTTTACCAAAAAAGTGACAAAACCCTACAAATGTGGACGGAAAGCACCTCGCGCTTATGGCAGGGAAAAGCTCTGGGGCAAATGGAGCTAAGCTCTGGGGTAAATGGAGCCAAATCCGGCATTCTAGACCTCTCCTGACAGATGATTTCAAGTAACCATACACCCTTTTTTAAACAAAAACTTTTACTTTTATCAAAAAAGTGACAAAATAATTTCAGATGTACATGTAGAAATTGACCCAGTTGGAACGGGGACCCAATTATTTGTCACATTACTTCAATGCAATTTTATCCAAATTGAGTGGCAGATTTTTTATTCCCTATATTAGACTGCAAAATTTCAGTTACTTTCTCATACTAGTAGCCTCCGGCCGGCCAGCCTTCATGGTTTCTTGTAGAATTCTTAGATCAGGTTCATGACCAGTAAGTTGATAGATTTATTAAGGGACTTCATTCGTGGGTACTGGACTGGTATCCTGTATCTGGGATCCTATTCCAGTAGTTTTCTTTCTACTTTCATTTCTAAATCACCACGAAATTGGTTTGCCAAATTAAACGCGTTCTGATTGGATCGTTGTATCGACTTCCTTTCACGTTTAGTGGCGGAAATCCCCGAGCAGGTACGACTGAACATTCTAAAACGCTGAGGCTCATTGACTTACGTATAGAAATTGCCCAATAGAATTATTCAGGGGAAACCACGATGTTTACTATTTTCCGGGCATGCGCAAATGAAATAAACAGACAAAAATAGTAACAATAATACACATACCATGAAGAAATTAACATGATTAATGTCTGACATAGTTATACACAAACACAATATTTCAACTTGCCTGGCGGACAACTACAGATGTATGTGATGGGTTTCACTTGCCCGTTGCAGATTTTACTTGCCTCAGGCAAGCGGGATAGCGCTTATTTCGAACCCTGTGAAATAGAGTTCACGATATTTAGGATCAAAGTGAAAAATTACTTTTCTTTTACAAACTGACTGGGAGAAGTTGTGAAACGTAAAAGAGGAGTCTTTGTTCGCTTATTAAGCTATATTGGTTAGTTTACACAATATTGCTAATTTGCTGTTTGTATCATTCTTAAATCATTCTTTTATTTTGTTTGATATCACGATTCAAATGTTTTTTTAAGCCTTTAATAATAACACATATTTATTATATTGCCGACCTGTCTGCATGCCTGCATTTGGCCTTTCAACTTATTTGATTCAAGCTGCACTGATGAGTCTAATTTAAAAGTTACAAATTGTAAGCCTGGCATATTTGATTTTTTTTTAACCACAGTTTCCCTGAACATAAAACCATGTCATTGCTGCTTCGTTTCAAATTCCAGGGTCCAAAAAAGTGGCATAAGTTAACTCATACTTCCTCCTTTGCATGCAGAAGATGTCGATTTCAAAGTTGATAGATAGCTCATCAAATATTTATTAAATTTCGATACTTATTGTTCATGGGATAATTTAAATCAGTTGTCTCTATTTTGTGTATTTTCCTTTGATTTTTGTTTGTGATAATTTTTCATATCATGCTACTCGTTTGAGATAGAAAATTATCACTAGAAACTAAGGGGCACATGCCGTTGTCAATGTAAAATTTAAAACCAACGATGACATAGGCAAAATAGCGATTAACAGATTATCAATGGTCTTTCAAACTCGAGGAAGATTCTTGGCCACATCTCATCTCAGGGCTATTGCCCTTCAATGAGATTGTAGCAGAGAAACACCCTCTCATTTGAAGAACCATTGATAATCTATAATGATTATAATTTTCTATAATTTAAAATGTATCATACTGTATTAAAAATCTATAATATCAAGTGCTTTTAATTTCGCTTGACCTCACTCTGAAACCACTGCGCCAGATGTTACCAAAGTTAGCCTGAATGTACCTTAGGGTATTTAGTTTTAAAAATATCTCTGAGGATTTGATCAATCAACAAACATGGCAGTTGTTGCTAAAAATAGAACATATCTCAAAAACTAAAGCAGTTACAGTGTACAGCAAAATTGAAACCGGTAAAATTTATCAGCAGGTAAACATGGTAAAGATCTATGTCCAATGTAATTTTCAGGAAAATGCAGGAGAACCCATTTTGGAGTTGTTGCCCCTAAAATATCAATTTAAAAACAAAAATCTAAGTTTTGGCATATATCTCGAATCTAAAACGGTTATAGCAAAACTCACAGGATAATGCTCTCCAGGGCATGGTCTATGTGATATGTAATTTTCAGACTATCCATTATGAAGTGAAATCTCAATTTTGAACAAGTTTCGAAGATTTTGGTTATTTAATCGAAAGAAAGTTATAAGTGACAGAGAGAAATTATTGATAGTAAAAATAAGCTGAACAATATAAGATCTATAAATTGCCATGCAGCCTCTAATATGTCTAATAGGAGTTTTTGCTCTTGAAAGACAATTTGTACCTATTTTTTTGTATTTTTTACAGAAACTATCATAAATAGAGAGAAATTGTAAAAACAAAAATGTTCAGCAAAATAAAATGTACAAGTAAATCAGAATCACTGAAATCATCAATTGATCCCTATAAGAGATTTATAATAACTGTTAGACTCGAAGTCCAAGTACGAGTACGACTACAAATCATACAGGTAAGCTATAGGGGTGATCTCAAAATAATGTGTACGCTAATTAATGTTGCCGTGCTCAATCTTTGTGTGGTGATAGGACAAAACCATTTATCAAATAAATGATTTTTTTTTACTTAAGGGTAGTAAGTGCGCTTTTTCGTTTAAGCTTGCTATCAGATATGTTCAGAATTTAAAACAGTAACTGTAAAAACTTCAACAACAATATTTATTGCTCCAGTTATATGATAATTTTTACTGATTACAATGAAAAACATTTTCAAGTTTAAAAAAATTGTGTCCTTTCATAACTGAAGAATTATTTAAAATAGATTTTGATAAAACAACTGTTCAGTTTTTATACGACCGCAAAATTTTTTTTGGGATCGTATAATGGTATGGTGTCGTCGTCGTCGTCGTCGTCTGCGTCGTCGTCGTCGTCCGAAGACACATTTGGTTTCCGGACAATAATTTTAGTTTAAATAAATGGATCTCTATGAAATTTTTGTAGAAGGTTCAATACCATAATAGGGAGGTTGGGATTGATTTTGGGGATGATGGTCCCAACCGTTTAGGAATTAAGGGCCCAAAAGGGCCCAAAACAAGCATTTTTCTAGTTTCAGGATAATAACTTGTGTATAAGTATTTTGATTGCTCTGAAATTGTACCACAATGTTTAATACCACAAGTAGAAGGTTGGGATTTATTTTGGGGGTTATGGTGCTAACAGTTTAGGAATTAAGGGCCAAAAAGGGGCCAAAAACAAGCATTTTTGTAGTTTCAAGACAATAACTTGTGTGTGAGTGTATGGATCTCTCTGACATTGTATCACAAGGTTCCATATCACAAAGGGAAGTCTGGGATTGAGTTTGGGGGTAATTGTCTCATACATGCAGAAATGAGGGGCCAAAAAAGGGCCAAAAACAAGCATTTTTCTAGTTTCCAGACAATAACTTGTGTTTAAGTCAATGGATCTCTTTGAAATTGTACTACAAGGTTCCATACTACAAAGGAAAGGCTGGGATTGAGTTTGGAGGTAATTGCTCCAAGGAGGGATTCAAAAATGGTGGGGGTTCCAATTTTTTTAAGGGCTTCACATTTTGTTTTCAAAATTTTTACAATTTTCAAATTTTTTAAAAGTTTCAAGAAGAAAGAAGAAACCTTAAATTTCACAGTATTGCGCAATAGATTTGTAAGATCTTTGACCACATTTATTTTGTGTCAGAAACCTATTTAGTATCAAAAATTTGATCACAATCCAAATTCAGACAGTATCAAGCTTGACTATTGTGCCCAAATTTGCCCCAACTGTTCAGGGTTCGACCTCTGCGGTCGTATCAGGCTGCGCTCAGCGAAGCATTTTATTTTTAATTTAATATTTTTTTTACTTTGTGGCGATTTGTTTCCACTGTGTATAGCCTTGGAAAATAGTACGGAGCTCGTTAAGTGCAAAGTAAATATAAATATTTTCGTTTGCAGACCATTTAACTGGTGTGCACCAGTCTGAAAAATGGTGCACACAACTTTGAAAAATGGTGCGTACGACTTTCAAACTCGTGCGCAAGTTCCTATAGAGTCATTCAAATCTTGTTTTGAAGTTATGCGCACGAGTTTGAAAGTAGTGTGCACGAATTTTAAAGTCTTGCGCACCCGTTTTTAAAAGTCGTGTCGTGTGCACCAGTTTTAAAGTGGTACACACAAGTTTCAAAGTCGTGCACACAATTTTTCAAACTGGAGCGCACTAGATTAAATATCAGTCAAACGAAAATATTTATATTGATATGGAACTTAAGTGGCTCCGTAGTAGTGCAAAATCCTGTTTGCATTGATTTTGATCAGAGTTCCAATGTCAACGCGTTTTACATATTGTTTCTGTCTAAGGATAAAACCAAATTTTTATATAAATACCTGGCAAGAATTGTACACGTGAGAGCAACTTTCTATAGAATTTATATTTCCAAGAGACATATCTCTTTTAAAAGTAGTTGATCAACACTGATTATCCAAG